TTCACAGACTCATTCTTTGTTAAACTTTGCTATTACTTCTCCTTTAACTAAAATTATAGGGGCTATATTTAAAGTCATTAGGAAAAAAGGGGCAAAATGTTTGGCTTATTAAAATGTTAATGATCTCCAATCATATTCAACTTTCAAAAAGCAAACAAGTTAAACAAGCAGGTAATTCTTATAGTTAAACAAGTTTAACTGTGGTGTAGAGTTTTAAAATACAATGTAATGAATCTTACATGTACCTGAGAGGTATGTAAGTTATAGAATGGTACTGAAGATTTTTCTGATTAGTTCAACTTTAGTATTTTAAGAATGGCTGGGCCACAGCATTTCTAACCAAGGACTTTCAGTTAAGACAAGAAGTTTATTTATTTCTTGTGCACCATCAGGGTTGACCTTCTGGACACTGTCCTCGAATTCCCAACCTTCTCTGGTGGGACGGGACAGCACTGCCAACTGCTTCCAATTTTCTAACAAGTAAGCCTAGTGCCCATCACTGAATAAGAACTAAACTACAACATAAAACTTAAAAACCTTGTAGGCTCACATAATTTTGTACAATGGGAAACATTTGACTTGATAATGAAGTCTTTGAAATACCAATCTAGCTGTACACAGTTTAAAAATGCTTAGAGCAGTGGAAGAGGTCACTAGTCAGAGAGGAAGCTGCCCCAGCACAGCATCCATACCTTTTAGAGCGCTTCTCTCGTGGGTCCCAGGAAGCCTCGTAGGTACCAGTAGTTCCAGTAGATCCCACATAAGAGTTTGGTCCTTTTCCATAAAAGAAGAAATGAAAGTTAAAGAACTTGCATTATTTCCAAAACTTAACTTGTGACAAAGATGTAGTGAACATAGAAAAATAAGGTATCTATAATTACTGAATAAATAAAGCAAAAGGCTCTTCATGTTATGTAAGATTCATCAATTTTAAATTTATAACCACCAGTGGCCCACGTAATCCAAGCACTCCCCTCACAAGGTGCTAAATAATGAACCTCATGCCCTTTACTGCCAGAGAGGGGAGCTGTAATGAGTAAACATCTGCAGAGCTTGAATCAGATAAAATACATGATTATGTATTAAAAACACAAGTCCATCAAAGATTTATGAATAGGACGATCAGACACAACTTTTCAGACATACTCCTATTTTTCTTACAAAATCACTGGGAGCAAAACCCCCAAAGATTTAGAAGTAAACATATAACTGAAGTCCCCCTTTTCAGGATAGCTACTGAATTTCTCTTTCAAGGTAAATGGCTATAATTATTAAAAACAAAATTAAGCAAAACTTTTTAAATACATGAGCTACCAAAACAACTCCTAGTGTTTGATACTGGTGGTATAGACACAAAATCACCAACAAAATAAACACGGGACTGAGAGCAAGTTGTGCAGGAGGCCAAGCACCCTGGCTGCACCGGCCGTCTCTGCCCACCAAGCACCAGGGCTCAGTGTGACGTCAGCATCCATCCCGCCAACTCCAGTGGGTTGCTGAAGATCAAAAGAGGTGGTGCAGATAAGAAATTTTAAATGTATTCAAGTACTAGATAATACTGTCTGTCACTAACGATACATCATTAAAATCATGATTAACGTATTTCTATTAATAACAAAAGTTAGCAAGAAAAACTCACACTTGAAAAATCTACTTCTATAGGCAGGAAAAAATGCTCAAAATATTCAGCAAATACTAATAGCACTGAATACTAGATTAAAGGGCCACAAAATCATTACCATTATTTTCATATTAAAATTCCTTTTTAGGCAAGCTGCACAAAAATGAATTTTTGGTTTTTTTGAGACAGAGTCTCACATTGTTGCCCTCAGTAGAGTGCCGAGGCATCATAGCTCACAGTAACCTCAAACTCTTGGGCTTAAGAGATTCTCTTGCCTCAGCCTCCTGAGTAGGTGGGATTACAGATGCCCACCACAACACCTGGCTATTTTTTGTTGTTGTTGCAGTTGTCATTGTTGTTTTAGCGGGCCGGGATCAGGTTCAAACCTGCCCCCTTGGTGTATGTGGCTGGCACCCTACTCACTAGGAGCCGCGGACGCCACCACAAAAAAGAATTTTTGTTTCTCCCCTCCAAAAGGCCCTGCAGGGTCACCCAATAGCACCATCTTCACTTCCTGTCACTCAGCTCCCACGGTCACCACAGAAGACACCCCTCACCCTCAGCAGAGACTCAAAAGACTGGACAAAAGCACTTCTCTAGCTTAAGGTGACCTAAAGTGGGCCTTAAGATAAATTCATTGCACGCTGACATTTTTTTTCCCAATTTTAATTCCAAAGTTTTTATTTTGTTTTAAAATACATTAAGCTTTATCTTTTGAATTTTAAGAATGATACTGACAGGCAGTGCCTGTGGCTCAGTGAGTAGGGCACCGGCCCCATATACTGAGGGTGGTGGGTTCAAACCTGGCTTTGGCCAAACAACAAAATATAGCCAGGTGTTCTGGTGGGCACCTGTGGTCCCAGCTAATTAAGAGGCTGAGGCAAGAGAATCGCCTAAGCACAAGAGCTGGAGGTTGCTGTGAGCTGTGATGCCATGACACTCTACCAAGGTTGACAAAGTGAGTCTGTCACCAAAAAAAAAAAAAAAAGAATGACATTAGCTTTTTCCACTGGTAAAAAAAAAATCAATTCTTCAAATTTTCAGAACTTTTAAAGGTAACTAGAATATAATATCCTGATTCTATTCCTCACACTGTCCAGTGGAGAAACCAAGCCCAGTCTGTAGAAGCACACTTTACTGGAGTGCTCACAGCAGAGGAGCCTAGCATAGGAGCACAGCAGCATCAGTGGGAGGAGGGGACAGGTCAGAACGGCCTCTGTGTGTGCTGCAGATGGCTCTGGCCTCAACAGAGGAGTCTGCAAAGAGGCTGAGCACTCAGACACAGGAGACAATCTGTTCCAATGTGAGAATGAATGTAAGTGTGAAACTGAGGAAGGGTCAGTGTGTTTGAACGTACCAAGACAACGAGAAGCAACGCTAACTACAATATTCTGCTACCAACCTCTCATTTGTGTCATGACACAAATTATTAACAGTTCAGTTTATAAAATCTGATGCAAGGAGACTAATGGCATCTTGCTTCAAAATTTACTATTATGCCATAAATGTCTTTAAAAGGTACCACATTCTATGGCTTGGCGCCTGTGGCTCAAGTGGCTAAGGCGCCAGCCACATACATCTAAGGTGGTGGGTTTGAATTCAGCCCGGGCCCGCCAAACAACAATGATGGCTGCAACCAAAAAATAGCCGGGTGTTGTGGTGGGCGCCTGTGGTCCCAGCTACTTGGGAGGCTGAGGCAGGAGACTCGCTTGAGCCCAGGAGTTGGAGGTTGCTGTGAGCTGTGATGCCACGGCACTCTACCAGGGGGACAGCTTGAGGCTCTATCCCAAAAAAATTAAAAAAAAGGTACCACATTCTAGATATGTACAATAGATTATTTTATGAAAACATTTAAATTTGGCTTCCAAAGTTATTTAATCTAAGTATCAATATACTAAACATTCAAAGTGGATCAAAGCTCAGATCTAGGTGAGAAAAAAACAGAGTTCTGACAAAACTCATTTGTTATGTAAGACTCACGACTACACCAAGGCTGAGAAGATGAAACTTCTTTCAGAATTGAGCCCCAGGTATTGTTTTTTTTTATGCAGAATTATGACAAATTTAGAAGTTTCTTACATACTTGCTAAAAGTAACACTATATTTGAGTATCTTTGGTACCAGAATTTCAATTTCATTTATGGCAAGACTAGTGTTAGATCTGAATCCTTATAATTTAGTTGTATTTTCAACAAAACATTCAGTGCTGTCTCAAACACTGACAATAGCCCCCAGGGCCATGTCCCAGACAGGGGAACTGCTGCAGTGCAACCGCCAGAGAGGCTAACTAGTGGCAGCTGCTGGGGCTGCCAGGGGCCCAGAGTCTGAGGTCACAGGAAAGAAGGAAAACAGAGAGAAAGAGAAGGAGAGGGGTCACAGGAAGGCTGGGGTCACAGGAAGGCTAGGCTCTCTGGCCCGGGCATGAGGTCACATAGCCAGACAATCACCCAGCTCAGCAGACACTCCAACTACACTGACCACCACGAATGGTGTGATTCATTTCACAAGCCACTGAATCCAGAACAAAAAGTTCTACTAATGTAAAACAGCAAAACTTACAATGTAATTATTACACTTAAAAGACACTAAGATGTGTGAAAAGGCACTTGTTCAACCACAAATAAAAATCATTTGAAGAGGTGGAGAATGAAAGCCAAGACCAACAGTACTTTAAATGATTCAGGGAATAACAAAGGACTGATTATTGTCAGCTAATCAAAGAAATGAAGCGTCTTAAGGTACAGGAAATGGAGTACTAAGATATCTATGAAAAAGAGTCATGAGCACAGCTGTTATGATTGGAGGCAGAGGAGATCACCATGCAGAGACGCATGATCGAGTGAAACCCAAAATTCCAAAGCCAAGTGTGATCATAAGGACCACACTGCAAGGCAAGTGTGCAGGGAGACTACAGGGCTCCAATCACGGAGAACAGAGAGCTTGGTCAGTCATGCCATCTGTCACCTCTACCTGTGCACTGGCTGGGACGGTAGTAGCCTGGTTTGTTTGGAGGGGGCAGGGGCTGGCCTTTTTTGTGAGCAGTACTGTTGGCTTTGGCTGAGGGTGGCTGGAAGGAGTTGGAGAGAGAGAAGCCATCGGAGGCTGGGCGCGGCAGGCAGGGGGGCGGCTGTGGCTTAAGAGGGGCAGAGAGAAGGTCCCCATGAGACTTCCTGGTGCTGGAGTACTTATCCTGACCTGCTAGGCTGCAGTCCTCCACCTCCTCCTCCTCCTCATTGTATGCAACAAACTTGGCAGTGAACAGCGAGTCGGGGGAGAGGACTTGTGTTTTGAGGTAGGAGGCATTTCGCTGAGGCGGGGGAGGAGGGGCGCTGGGCGCAGGGGATGGGGACGGGGGTTCGTAGTCCCGAGGAAGTGGAGGGCGGCACAGAGCAGGCTCCTCGGGCTCCAGCAACCTGCGTGCTGCTTCATCATGCTGTCTGCGCCTCTCGGCCTCCAGGCGGCTGTAATACCCTTCTTCCTGTCGCCTCTGCAGGCGGGAATAGACAAAAGTGCAAAGTTCAGAGGCAGGAGGGGACTGCCCACCCTTTGAGCCATCACAGAGAGCAGTCCCCACCACCACAAAGATGGACAAGTCCCTGGGATGTCAAAGTTTAAATGTCACAAGTACTGTGACAGAAGCAGCAGGTCGACCTGGAAAGCCTTCTCTTGAGACTCAGGAAAGCACAGTCTACTCTGGGTACCCAACAGAAGGCTGCTCAGCAGCGTGGGCCGAACTCAGGTGTGGGCTCCCAACTCCCACCACAGCCCCTCCCGCCCGTCCCACTGGCTCAGTTCCTCTGCTCTCCGGCATGCTTCCTGCAGCTCTTCTGGTTTTCAGGAGGATGTCAACTTACCTGTTACTGCTGTTGCTAAGGACAGCACAAACTAAACCCCAGCTCTCCATGGCTATGACCCAGACAGTCCAGAAGGGCAGCCCCTCCTGGACAGGGATGATGTGAGCAAACAACCCCCATTCACCTCCAGTTCCAGGAGAGAAATTAACAGGACACCACAAACTGTACAAAGTCACTCATTCTCCCAAAGCAGTAATCTAACAAATATGCTTTCCACAGTTCTTAACTTGTATTTCAAATCTTAGTAAACTCCCTGACAGAAAAGTAGAGAGCCAGGCATTAAGTAACAGCAACAAGATATTCAAATATATTTTGACACATACTGTACATTTTTTCTGACACATCTGCACAAACTACAGTTGACAGTGTTAAAATTTAACATTTAAAAAAAGGTAACAGCACAGTTTTGTTTTTTTTTTAAAGATTGACAAAAGTTTCAGAGCACAAGAAAAAAGGAAATAGGAAAGGGGATGAAGACCCAGCAGAAGAATCTGCCTGAGTGATGCTGAATGCTAGGTGATGGAGCATGATCACCTCCCAATTCATCCAGCCAGGAACTAATTTTAGGGACCTTGCTGGCATTAGGTTTTATCCCTGTTTTAATTTTTGCACTGTATTTCCCCCACTGCCCCCCCAGAGCCACACGCACGCACACAGAGTGAACACACAGGGTCACTGCTCCACCTCCTGAGGGAGAGAAACCTAAGATCACATGCCAGCCCCAGCACTGCCCTAAACCCAATTTCTCATCGTCTCTTCTCATTCTACATTGACAGATCCTGAAGGAAAGACATTTTTATCTTCTTGTCTGTACAAAGTGTTCCCTTGACATCAGGGATCAAACCAGAATGACTTCTGTGGCTTTAAATGAAAGTATCAAGAATCTTAGTATTAACATGAAGAATAGTTGCTTGATAACATTTAGGGAAAAACCAAAACATCCTCTTTTATAGTTATACCAAGAGCAGATAACAATTACAAGGTGATTTATTCTACCCAACAAACAAATAGCACATTTTTCTATAACAAAGCAAACCCAGAAATTTTGGACATTCTGTATAAAAAATAGTTCATCAACTTCTTTTTACAGTGACCACTCAATTATGGAAGCAGTTACTAAAACCTAAGTGTACTTGACATAATCATGAGTTGTGAGAACACATTTTGGAAAGATTAAGTAACCCAGGGGCCCCTCCATACAGACAGCATAGCCTGACCCTGTCCCCAAGCGCACCACTCCATGTGTTAACCAGACTGCCCCTGCCACATGAGGTCAGGCCAGGCCCTAACTCAAGCAGTGAGTACTGCATAGGGGGTGGGAAGCTCGAGCTGGCAGAGAACTGGAAGAGCCTCTCCCTCCAAACAGCAAGAAGGGGGTTTCACAGAATAGCAAAACAACAAACACCATAAATACTTAGAAATCATGTGGCTCAAAATTTTGAGAATCTGATTTCCTTAGAAAGATCATCAATTTTGACTCACCATTTCACAAACGAAAGACTCAGGGTAACCTAATCCTGAAAGCCTAAAATGTCTGAGAATACTTCAAAAGCTGTTCAGATACAATACATAATATAATGATAAATTTTAAGGAAGGTGAAGGTCTACAAAATGCACAAATCACTGATTTTAATACAGGTATGTGTCCTGATACTAGTCACTGAAATTCCACTGAAATGAGTCATATCATGTCTATCAATCTTGCCTTGTTCTGTATCATAATACATTATATCATTACAAAAAGCTTCCTAAAAGTTCTTTTCTGAGGGGAGCAGGGGTGTTCTATTAATATAGTTCCCTAGACTGTCAAGGAGTTATTAGCAAAAAATTTTTCCCCATCAGAAGCTATAATACTCAAAAGCTTCTACCTTCACAGAAGGGAGTAACAGAGAAGAACAGCCCAGCCCCTCTCACACCACACACTGCAGCATGCAGCCCCTCCAGATGAGACAGACCCGCCTACCCCCACCCCCCATGAACTCAATGACGACAGCCTCCTTGTCCCAGAGGGCCCAGCTATGAGCACACAGGACAAAGAGTCATCTGGAGAACAGTATCTCAAAGGTCCCATTTCTCAGGAGGTAAAACTGCCATTTTTAAATTAAACTATAAAGAGAATTACTTGAATTAAAAAAAACACACACACATAGAAATAAACCAGATTACATACTAAATTTTCCTTGTATAAGCCATATGCTCTCTTTACCATCAACCAGCATTGAGTAATTTCAGTAAATAGCTACTTGAAATGTTTAATGTTAACAGGCTGTCTTACTATTCCTACTGCTCCCATGGTTCAAACTCAATTTAAATAATAACTGAGCAAATATCACCTTCCCAATAACAAGCTGGACCATGTCCAGTAAAGATCAGAGCCCCAACTATGCAGACCCTTTGCAAAGAGGCTCACCACTACACACACCTAAGAGTTCAGAAGCTCGAGGGAGACCAACTCAGAAGGTAAGGGCATTTGGAGACAGTCCAGAGGACAGGCAGGTAGCCAGATGGGGTTCAAGTTTTTGGTCCAATCACAAAAGCTGGGGGATGCAGCCCCTGCTCTGTCTCGTGCACCGTAACACACCTACCCCCCTCTGCCCCAGCCCAGCGTGGCGCTCAGGCTAATCTGGGGAGACTCTAGCTGCCCTCAGAGGACCATGACCTTTTCTTCGGCATCTCGCTTTACCCGCTCCTCCTCCTGCCGGGCACGGTCCTCCTCCTGCCGGGCACGGTCCTCGGCTTCCCGTTTCCGCATCTCTTCTAACTGCTGCTGGCGTCTCCGTTCCTCGTCCTGCAACTGACAGCAAACTGACGTTAATTTTCATTCAGTAAACTCCACAAGCACAAGACATAAAATACATAAAGACAAGTAGACACACAGATACATACAAAATTACATACAAAAACCGGCTTAAAAATCACTGTTGGAAGATGATAAAACCTGCACATTTTTTAGCTCTATTATTTTAAAATAAGTTACCCAAAACCTTTGTGTAAGTTATTCTTCCTCAATCATGGCTCAAAGATGGAATTCAATTTATACACTCACACATTAAATAAGCATGATTCTTTTATTAGATAAATTTAAGTGAACCCTCCTCTCATGTAAATCAACAACTCCCCCTTACAGAACTCTGGAGCACACTAGCCCCCTTCTTCCTTTGCTCCTTTTGCTTTTTAATTTCCACTATGAATGTTAAGAAAAAGTCTCTGCTCTTGTAGGATGTGGGAGGTCAACACCTGTCTGTCAGTGGGTGAGGATCCCTAGGCAGCACAAGACTGCAGTAGGCCAGGGGCCCATCACTCATCCTCTTCTGGACCTTTCCCATCACCTCTCTCCAGATCCCATTCTGGACTGCAAGAATTCCTTCCCAGCTCAGGAATATCCCCAAATTCCTGAGCCTGAGATGGCAAGAAGCCTATCCTAGCTCATGCCTGCCTGGACACTAGTGTCTATGAACCTAGTGTCAGTCCACTCTGCTTTCAAGATCTTCTATTGGTCTAAAAGTCACTACCTGATTGTTTTTCTATCTTTGGTCATTCAAGTTCTACCTTTTAGAATGAACACAAAATTTAATAGCTTTCCTTCACATCACCCAAATACTTAAGGATGTCTTCAAATACTTAAGTTTCTTCTTTCTGGTTTTTAGCTCCTTTCTCTTCCTGGTCATGCACTAGGGTTGGAAATACCTTTGCTAAGAAGGAACCCTAGATTAACAACCAGTGCAGAACAGATTATGACAATTCCTTTTTGCCATCTTGATACACGGCTACTTGTGTCATCCTAGCCTTCGGTGACAGTAACTCCAACATGCTGCATTTTCTACTCACTTGTCTGGGATAAACCTGCCACAGCCCACAGCTGTGCTGTCCCAGGGCATCGTAAGCTGACTCAGCATTTCTAAAATGGGAATGTAAAGCCATCCAGTGCAATCTCCAGCCACTGTGGATTCCCTTACACAAAATTCCCAAATTCCTATGCATTTCAATTTCAACAGAATTATCAGTTTGTCTATAAATGGTTTACAGAAGAAAATATAAAATGTTAACTCCTGGATTTGCATTTTATATATATATAAAACAATCTTACTCTTCCTTTATTTCAGTAGAAAAAAATACTGTATCAGGTGGGAAAAATATTAACCTGTATTAGTTGGCTTCCGTGTCAGTAAACAATTATAAAATATCTTAGAAAACAAAATCATCTTCCCCATTTAACTTTCTCTTTAGTGTAACCTCTGTTAGAAGCCTAAGCAAGGTGTTGGGATAAAGGCTTTTATGGGTTTTTACAGCAGAAGCAGATACTATGAACAGGAAGCAGAAGCAGAAAGCAGGAAGGAGTCGGCCCCTCGGCTCTCTGCACAAAGATCACAGCCAACAATGGTAATATTCAGCAAGAATTTCAGCTAGTATAAATGATAAAAATCAGCACCCAAATAAAAATAACAAAATATAAAATAGCAATTGAGAATGTCAAATATTCTATCAAAAAATAATTTAAGGCAGAATATAAAATTGCTTTAATGAAGCGGGCTTTTCCCTTATCCAACAATGTACAAACTAATGTATATGTTTAGCCCTAAAATAAGTTCTTAGCAAGAAAATATTAAACACTGACACAGCAAATTAGTTCTTTAAAATTAAATAGGAGTATAACTTCAAGAAAGCAGAACAATTCTCATTCTCATAATCATAAATGAAAATGCTATCTTATAAATACTATAAACAATTATTTTCTCTTAAAACCCTTATTCTCCTACTCTGGGTGGCAATAGGCAAGCACCGTTCTCTCTGTTTTCAGTTCACTTATTCCTTACTATTCTTAGAAGGCGGCAAATTAACAACTGCTACTATAATCAAGGCAATTTCTTTCCATCTTTTGGCTAAATTATCTATTTCCATTTCCAAACCATAAATTGTTTTGTTCTTCAAAGATATGTTGCTTTACCTACCCTCAAAAAGTGTTACTGAGAAAAATGAGAATTTCTTAATTAGCTCAAAATAACAGCTCAAAACAGTGCATCGAGCTCTATAGCTAAGTTTATTTAAATTCTGTAAGAGTTAAAGGGCATATTAACTGAAATTACAAATTTAACCACTCTTGATCCAGAGACAAACTGCCTGTTAACATTAATCCTTTGATCAAAAGAATGAAAAGTTTTGTGTTACCAAAGCAGCCTTGTGGAAAGTAGTATTTGGGGACTACAGAATAAAGGAAAAACACTGTATGACCTGATGAATCGAGACAGTCCAGAGTAGACGTCATTCTAAATCGAGAACTGTGCTGTGATTTCAAAGCCAGTACTAAGCTAGAACCGACATTCTGCTATACTGGCAGACCACATTTCCAAAAACAGGTACTTTCAGGTAAAATGACAATGCATGTCGAGATCTGTGTATTTATAATTTTGTACCACAAAAATGCATTGACTTGTATTTGGAAACAAAACAGGGGCATAAGAGAGACTTAACTTTCTGACACTTCCACTGTAGCACAGCTCCAAAGTCCGCTAAAGCCCTTACAGAATCTTATTCTTTATAGACTTTCTCTGCTTCTGCTCTTTCCTATCTCAAATGTCCAACTTAACAAAAATTTTTCAAGCCAAAAAAATGAAGAAAACTCCTTATTTATCAGATCATCTGTTACTATAGACCTTTGGTACCACCAAACCTGGTTTCAGAACCCAGCTCTGCAACTTATCAGCTGTTGATCCAAGCCGAGGTCCACGCTGTGTCACAGGGCTGATGTGGGAACACAGTTCCCTCTCTGAACAGCAGTCTGTACTAACTGACACCGGGAAGAGCACCCAGTTAAATAGCAGCTTCCTTCCCTCAGCACAGCACATGTGCTTTTTTCTTAATTTAAAGAAAATGCTGATTTTATCAGACATTATAGTTTAGCTGCTGAAATACCAACAGGTACATGGTGTGGCTCAAAGTTGCCCATAATACACACTTCTAGGGCACCCATTCTATCTTACACAACCACACCGTTTTTTTTTCCTACTCCATGATATGTACATGTTGGTTTTAATATGAACACGTCTTTCCTAATATCCTGAGTAAAGCCTGCCCTCCAGAAGGTGCACTGATACAGGGCTCTGCCGTGCGGGCACGGCTAGTTCATCCCCGAGAGCTGCAATCTGAACAGGCAAAATACAGTCCAGCTTCCTACAAACAGGTCTCCCTAAAGATACAATTCTCTAATTAGGCTTCCTGTTAACTCTTGCTTGAAATTTTTATGTGGCTTATAGTTTCACTGAGCTTCTGTACTCAGGATACTGAAAGAGGGGTGTGCCCACAGTGTCTACCCCATATGCAGACCAGGCAAGGTATGTGTGAACATCTTCACTAGTACTCCCCCAAGGTTGGAGTTTCTCCTGTGAGTTCTCACATTCTCTGAGTTGGCAGATGACATACTAAAATGTGGTTACAAGACAAAGCTGAGACTAGTCACTGAGAGACTGCCAGGCCAAAGACATTTCCAGTAAGATGGTTCCTAATAATATATTTTTATGATAAGAGGTATTTTTTGTATTGTAGAAAGAACACTTAACATGAACTCCAGACAATTCTAGTTGGAACCTTGGCTCTCACATTATCTATGTGAAACAAGCTGAATCTCCCTAATCCAAAATATTGAAACTAAAAGTGCTTCCATTTTGGAATTTTGGAATATTTGCATATATATAATGAAAAAGCTTGGGGACGGGGGACTCAAGTCTGAATACAAAAATCATTTGTTTCATATACTCTTTATACTCACAGCCTAAAGGTTATCTTATGTAACATTTCAAACAACTGCTGTGTGTGTCCCACTTACAACAGTTTGTCAGCACTGCTAAGTTTGGGATTTGGAGGATCTTCAGACCAGGGATGTGTAGGTGCAATGGGTGAGTCTCTCACATGCTGAGTCTGAAGAGCCCTGATTCTCAAGAGATCTGTGTGAGTCTGGGCAAGTCCCCCACATACTGGGCTGGTTACAAGGAAACGACAGTGACAGGTGCTGATAACCTGTCAACCCAAGCAGTGAGGGAACAAGTCACACATCCCGTCATGTGGTGGGAGCAGTGAGGGAACAAGTCACACAACCCATCGTGTGGTGGGAGCAGTGAGGGGAAAAAATCATACATCCCATTATATAGTAGAAGGGTCAGAGACTGCCCTTGGGATGCAGCCAGGCAAAAGCCATAGCTGGGTTGATCCCTGCCACCGAAGTCCTAATACACAGGCCAGATGAAGTGAAGACAGGTGCCACAGAGCAAGCAGAGCACTCCCCTGGGTGGAGTCATTAGGGATCTAAGGGACAGGTCTAAGGATACAAGTGCTCTGCTGTAACTTGGTGCTGAGGGGCCCTTTCCAGCTAGCACACTTTGAGGTGAACAGTAAGACACACTAGTTTAGGAAGCTTAGTGAGGACGATGTCCTGATAGCTTTCCGGGCTGCCGACAGTTGGGAAGGACACACACCTCCACGAGCCCGGGGACTGGTCCCAGGACCCTGTTCCACTAGCTTGGCATCCCTGTCCACTGACCACAGGGTTTCTTCTAGAAACCTGGGCAAAGGCCCTAACCACATGTAAGCACAAGCAACTCTGAAGAGACATGCACACAGTGATGAGTAACGTGCACCTCGCAGCTGATGCAGCACAGAGGCGTTCAGAGGGCAGGGATGGGCGAGACTGGAGGAGCTCAGACTGGAGGAGGGGTCTCCCTGAAAGATGGCATCTAAGCCAGACTTAAAGGGTACGAGGCAGCCACAGGTACTCCCAGGGAAGGACAATAACCATCAGGGAGGAGTTGGCCCTGCACGTGGAGGGTCACTAGAGAGGAGAGGTGAGGGTATGAGAGGGAAATGGGAAGACCTGGAAAGTCTAAGTGATGGGGAACTTTGCTTATGAGGTATGAGGACATTCTCATCAGACAGCTACATGTATATCAACAATGCCCGCTGAAGGGACCAGGACAGAACTGAAGGGTTCAGCCAGTCTCTGGCAGTGAGCCAGGCAGGACAAGATGATGGCTCAGGTCAGGGATGCTTTGAGGTAACAGGTTCTGTGGAAGGTGAGCCAGTAGAGCTCCTGACTAGAGAAAAAGGGATCATGGATGACTGTGAGGTTCCTTAACAAAGCGATATAAAACATCCACTGATACAGGGAAGAGGAAGACAGAGTTAGGCTCAGTGCAAGGTGCACAGAGGACAGAAGGGATTGCATTTGGAATGAGCTGTGTTTGAAAAGCCTCATGTGACTCCAAGGGGAGCTGTTACATAGACAGGAGGGTTTGAGTCTTCAGTGTCTGAAGTTTAGAAAACGGGGGTGTCAGTGGTATCAGTGTGGTGCTACTGTCATAGACCTGGGTGAGCACAGACAAAGGAGGCAGGTCCTAGGCCAATGCTGACAGATCACAGAGAAACCAGAGGGAGGACAGACACTAGCTTTGGCAGCCTCTGACAGCGAAACCCAGATGCTCTGCAACAGAGAGAGGCCTGCCTCACGCACCCCCTCAGTCCCCTAAAAGTCCTGCTAATGTGCCTAAGAAAAGAGCGTGAGAACTGTATAGGGCAATGTCACCCCTAAGCTGGTCACACACTGACCTTACGCCTACTATCGCAGGAAAGGCCTGATACCTTAACAGGAGAGGTTCTCCCAGGGCAGCCTGCCCATTCTGACATCCAGAATTCTACAAATAATGATGTTGTTAACAATAGTAATATTTACTGAGGAATCAGGCTAAGAAAGGCTCAGAAATGTGCTTAGGATCAATATTAATACTCATAAAGAAAGAAAAACTTGGACTTCTAAAATTCTTAGTGCCTCCATTATTCTGTTACAGACGGGTCTGTGGAGCTGGCCAGTGCCTGCCCTGTAATGGATGTGAAGCAAGTACTTGTTAATGAGTATCTCACACGAAGAACTATAGTTGATGAACATTTTCAAATTACACCTTATTATGCAAAAAAAAGTAGAAAGAAAAAAAAAAATTTTTTTTTTTTTTTTGCAGTTTTTGGTCAGGGCTGGGCTTGAACCCTCCACCCCTGGCATATGGGGCTAGCACCCTACTCCTTGAGCCACAGGCACCACCCAGAAGAAAGTATATTTTTAAAGCTTTGTTTCATGTTAAAAAACGCAGAGCTCAGCAAATACGCCCTCTCATCAGGGAGGGGAGATGTGGACCAGAAGAGCTTCTCCCTAGGGCAGTGTTTTTCAACCATTTTTACTCACCACACACTTGAACCTATAGTTAAAACTTCCATGGCATGCTTAAATTAAGCTGATCAAAAAGAAAAGAAAAGAAAGCTTAAAAAAAGAATATATTCTTCTTATAAAAATAACTGATGATTTTTTAAAATTTTTGTGGCACACCAGATGCCACGGCATACTAGTTGAAAATCACTGCTCTAGGGTGACACTGGCACGTGCTGTTTAAGTTGGTAGGGGAAAGGCTAGTACAGTTAAACCATGACTCAGAGATTTTTTTTAAAGTATTGTCTCATATTGGTTTTACCTCACTAAGAAGTTGACTAAGAATAAATACTGCCTTAAAGTTAATATAAATGTATCAGTCTAACAGGTGACAGATGTAGCAGCAAGCTAGATGGTCATCAAATGACCAATCAAATTTTCCCAATACTGACAATAAACACATGGCAATTACAACAGACTATGGCCTTAAGTATTTTTCAGCAGACTATAAATTGGCATGGCTGATAAACTAAACTAAAATCTAGGTGACAATATTAAAGACAACACAGCACACGTGTTTGGTAGAAACCTATCTGACTCTACCAACAGACAGTGACATCTTAGACAATTACATCTTAACTGGCAAACAGTGTCAATACCATTTCAATTGAGTTTATAACAATGGAATATTTAAAGTCTACTGCTAATGTAACAAGAATAAAATAGATTACTCTTGGCAAAATTGATCTCTATTTATAATTATATAAGAAAACACAGACTCAATTAAGACTAGAACTGAGAAAAAGTTCAAAACCATAAACAAATAGAAACACTTAAAACTAATGGGGAAAAGCAAAGAGTAACTAAATCTAGTAACATTCAAAGGCATGCTTCTAGAGAGTCCTAAGACTACACCTCCTGGTCTAGGACCCCCTAAGAGAACGGCATCTACTAAAAACATAAAATAATCACCACCAAAAGAAAAAAGGAAATCAAGACAGGAAAAAAGTACCAAAGGGAAAGAAACAAGAACATACCAAATCTAGAACAGAGATTGCTGGCATAGCAGTCTGCTGCAGGTAACAGAGGAGGAAAAAAAAAGAAAGATGAAGCGTGAAAAAAAAAGTTAGGTTTAGACGTGTGCCCCGTTGTTGGCTGTTTTGTTTCTATCATGCATCATCTGTTTTTAGACAACCCGATGGGAAAAGAACCACAGACTAATTTCTAGTATTCAGAAATAAAAAAAAATACACATGATACTAAATATTATACTTGAGTTTCATCATTAAGATATACAGAAAGTAATAAAAAGCATATTTTCTCTCAGCTCTCTTACTTGGAGACTAATACAACTAATGACCAAAACTTAAATACTTTTTACTCAATTATTATAAGAAACTTTCAAAGTCTTTTAAGTACAAATGATGATATTTGGAAATATTTACTGTTTTAACCATTTGGAATAATAACTCTGACAGACTTTCAAATAAAAATGAGCTAATTATAGAAATGCTAACGCAGAGATGCTCACATTGCCTCTGGTCAGGACATACACACACGCATGTGCTCAGAGGCAGGGCACCCTTGCCTTGTTTCCAGGCTGTGTGGCAAAAGGCTATGAATGTTTCAGTTTCTGATCATCCATTCTGACATGCCCAGGAGGGACACAGCTGGGGCCAAAGGGATGTACCTGCCCTGGCGAGATCAGGCACCTAACACTACTGAGTACCAGGGAGGCAAGAAACTGGGTGGAAGTTATTCCAAGCATCCTTATGGCAAAAGTGCAGTGTTCAGTTACTAACAAAACAGCTCTCTTTCAAATGAAGTAGTTCTTATGGAGAACGGTTAGTCTTAAAGAAGTTCACTACTGATGCTGTAAAAAACACTCAAAAAAGCACTAAGAAAACAATGTAATAATTATCATTTTAACCTCATTTAAGTGCAGGCAGGACTCAAGTTGAATTCTAGGTGAAGATGTACACAAATTTGGCTCAGACATTATATATACTATATTAAGACGTGTATGTCAGAGACTTCTCAGGAAAGACTCACAGAGCAAAATAAAAAGACTGCACTGCTGAGCTCTGTGTGCTCACCAATGATCACCAGATGAAGCTCATCAGGAGCAGAGAGTAAAATGTCGGACTCGACAGCTATCGGTTTAGACCTTCAGTACAGACAGCTGAAGTTAGAAGCAAAAGACAAAAAGGACATTGCCTTTGGCCATCTCTCCTCAGGTTATTGTACTGTGTTTTAAAAAAAACACAACCAAAGAAGGTCTAAAACTCATTAACACATCATGGTCAACAGCACTCCCCACAAATGAATACTGATAAATGCCTCTGCTGATAATTCTCTTCATAGGTTGACAAGGAAACTTGCACTCATCTAAAATTGCATTTTAACAATTTGCTACATTAAACTAATTTAAATTTTACTTTTATTTGCTATAAAACAGAGAAATATGGATAAAATCCGAAGTTACCAATATCTTTATACTACAACTGGAATATAACTGTTTACTTGCTTCATTAAAAGTATAACTAACTATTACTACTGTGGAGGTCTCACATCTGCTAAGACCTTACACGTGACCACCTCAGTAGCTTACCTTGTTAACCACTATGAGTTCCTGACAGTAATCAAGAGCAGGAATCAGCAAATTACCTGCCATGTGTCTGTAAATAAAGTTTTTTGGCACACAGCCATGCCCTTGTGTTTCTAAGAGTCTGTGGCTGCTTCTGTGCTAGGCAGCAGAGCTGAGTGGATGCCGGAGTCCACATGGCTCTGAAAGTCAACCCCAATCAAGATTATTATTGGTTAACAAATGCTTAGTAACAAATACTTGTTTTCTCAATTATGAGCTTGCTAGAACAATAAAGTTCTATTCAAATTGTATTATAATTTCAGCCTCACAGCTCAGGCCCATTTCGAAAGGACTTGGGCCAGTAGCAAGGCATATGGTAACCAGCCCAAGGCCTCTTTAATCCTGCCACGGCCCGGGGCCTGGCTGCCTGACAGACACACAGCTGGACCAGGGTCACAGACCGCACACGAGGCATCTCCCCTTTACCCTGGCTCTTCGCTCAGCCTCCAGGCGCTGCATGATCAGCATGGTGTCCACATCGTCATCCTCCTCTTCCTCGTCGTCCTCATCCTTCTGCTTCGACTCCTGGAGCCTCTTCTGGAACTGCCACTCCAGCATGAGCTTCCGCAGGCGGTCGCTCTCCTCGGCGCTGCGGTCTGACTTGCTCTGGAGCTCCTGGATCTCCTTGCTCAGCATGTCCACAATGTGCATCTGCTGCTGCTTCTCCAGCTTCTCCTTGGCATCCCGCTTCCAGGGGTCTGGAGACAGACTATCCCCAGAGGACAGCTCCTCCCTGCTGACCGTGATGTATTGCAAGTCCCTGCGCTCGATCGTGCGGGGCTGCTGCTGGGGCTGCAGTTCCCGAATGACCGTTTCTTGGGGCCTCTGCAGTGTGGAAGGCTTTTCTGGCTTTATCTGTGGCGTGGTCAGGGGAGAGAAGGGGGCAGGGTTGAGGGCCTGAGAGCGCATCTGACCCAGCTTCCGTTCCTGCTCCCTGCGCTTCCGCTCCCGCTCCTCCTCCAAGCGTGCCTTCTCCTTCTCGTACCACCGCTGATGCTCTTCTCTCTTTTTCCGTTCTGCAGCTGCCACCTGTGCAGACTGCAGTCCTATCTGATTGGCAGAAGGAGGGGGTGGGAGAGGCAAATCCATGGGGATTCCATCAAAATCACTGGCATAATGGGCAGGAGGCGGAGGGGGTGGCGGAGGCAGGTCTGTCCGGACAGGCTGAGAGGCAGCCACTGGAGTGGGCGGAACAGTGGCTGGTGTTTTCCATCTGCCAGGGCCACTCTTAGTCAGCGTGGAAGCAGGGGTCACCGACTTAGAGGAATGGTTCAGATGCTCCTGGCTGGATGTACTGGAGTCCAGAGATGAGCTCTGATTGATCCACATGTCACTGTCGGACTTCCGATCTGTCGTCATCTCCATGTGATGTCGATCAAGTTGGTAAACTTTATCTTCCCTAAGTTCTTCTTGGGAACGGGTAACACGCTAGAAAAAGAAAAAGAACTATTGTATTTCAGCCATTTATCAGAAGAAATTACTAAATATTCATAAGCATTTTATCATCAGAGAAGAAAAAACTAAGAAAATTATTACATGAACGTACAGAATGGAGGCTGAGCCTGTCTTATAGCTCACTGGTAATGTGGAATAACAGTAAATTTATTCTTTTTTTGAGAGGAAAGCTGTTCTTTCTCTCTGCATCACTGGCAAAAAAATCAAACACACAAACCCTGAGGCCCTTCTTTACCCTATGGCACCTTGTCCCAAATCCTGACCACAGCCAGCTACGCGATTCATAGACTCCAGGAGAGTGAGCGTATCTGGTCTAATTAAGATCATCATTGTTTCTCCAATTATTTTTAAGAGTAATTATTAAACCTAAACCATCTTATCCATGCATGAATTCACAAGCCAACAGCTGCTTTATAAGCTCTTTGACAGAGGTGAGCTGGAAGGAAATAGCAGCCACATACTATAAATAAGAAAACTTAATAACAGTACTCCCATAAAATGGGAGAAAATCTGCATGAGAATGGGATTCAGTATACGTTTTTGAAATTGGATGGCCTTGACATATGGAAAGCACATTTTCTTAAGGTCTAACAAAATAGGCTAGAAGAACCAAGGCATGAGATTACTGTTATAGAGAAAGATGGAGAAAGGTGTTGTCTCCCAAGTAACCCCAGCTTGCTGTCAGAGGAGGCACATCATCCCAGCTGGACAAGGGTGAAGGAAGGCACCCAGCAGTCACAGGCCTGGACTGCTGCAGGTGATCAAGACCCCTAGGAAACAGACAGGACGGACTACAGACCAGACAACAGGTCAAGCTCTATGGCCGAAGAAGCACTTTCTGCCCCCAGGCTCCTTCTTGTCTGCATACACACTGCCTCCTGTGAGCACAATCCCCTCTCTCTTCTGCCTGCTGGTTTCATCCTTCAAGGCTCAGCTCAAATCCCATCTCAACTCTCAAGTTAGTATTTTTTGGCCAACCTTAGAATGATTATCTTCAGAATTCCTGCATCTGTTTTCACCATCCAGGCACATTACATATCCTAGACTACCAATTTTTAAAGATACCTTTAATTTTTTTCCCCAATCATTCACAGTGCAACAGTTATCTTTCTAAAAAGAAAAACACATTTGACAATGTCTCCAGCTTAAGCGCTCAGACTGGCATCCCCTTGCTACCTATGTGGACAAAAATGCAAATTCCTCAGCGGCCATGTGGTCCTTCCACGTAAACCACTTGTCCACCCCCTCCTGCCAATCCTGAGCTCTTGCTCAGCTTCTACATGGACAGCTGTGGTGTCACCCACAAGCCCAGGCTGCAGGCCACTGAGCCCAAGTCAGCTCGTCATGCAGCTAGAGCCACCACCCCAGCAGCTGACCACTGAACTTATCTGTCCTGTTCCCCAACCATGCCCTGAGCAGCACAGGCAAGGACAGATCCCAACAGTGTGCAGATCCCCTGGAATCTCACTTCTCACTCCTGTAATCAGCAAACCCTGCCTTAACAACTACAAGGCCTTGTCTTAATAACATTTCATTAATCAAACACCAAGAGAACAAAGAATCCTTTGCCTTATTAAGTATTCTGCCCTATTCCCTTTTCCTCAGACTTACCCATAAAATGATGAAAGGAAAAAGTAAGAGGCAAGGATGCCGCTGTCAGAAAGTATCGACTGTGTCTCTAAACTCACTGTTTTACTCTGTCACACTGGTCTATCTTACTCCTCTGAGAGCTGAGGAAAGAAAGTTTGCAGAATCCCTTACTTCTAACCTGAGCTGTAATACTGGAATGATTACTGTCTGTGTGCACAGGCGGCTTTTCCTCATAATTTGGCCACTGGTTCTGAGGAGGTCCCATCCGATCCTGGGATTTGGAAGCTGGGAAGGTAAAATACTCTCTGGTGTATGTCTGAGTGGGGATGGGGTAGGCTTCAGGTCTAGGAGAAGGAGTCTGCTCCTGTAGAGGGTGAAGAACAAAGAAAAGCAAGCTTTTTACAAGGGAGCTTTTTGAGAACAGACTAATTTTTAACGGTATGTTTTAAAATATAAAAAGTTGTAGATACATTAAATAGTGTGTTAAAAATTAAGTGTTTAATCCTATATGGAGAATCATAAAAAATATTTTACTTTGCCCAAACTTATTTATTTAATTTACCTAACTATTACATTAAAAATCAAAAGACTAAATGCTACAAATTTAGGAATTATATCCAATGCTTATCTGTAGAGTAATAATCTAATCAGATTAAGCTAGGCACAATAATTCCTGCCTGTAATCTCAGCTACATGGGGGGTAGAGGAAGAGGATCACTGAGGTCAGGAGTTTGAGATCAGTTTGACCAACACAGCAAGATCTGGTCTCTAAAATGTTTTTATAAAATTAGCCATGTGTGGTGTCTTTGCCTGCAATCTTAGTACTCAGGAGGATGAGGCAAGAGGATCACCTGAGCCAAAGAATTTGAGACCAGCCTGGGCAATATAGTGAGACCCCGTCTCAAAAGAAAAATATCTTCTTATTAATAGTTAAGTTAGATATTCCAGTGGAAATCTAAGTATTAAAATGTAGTAAAAGTCTTTTGCTGATTTCTCAGACCTCAGTGCAGAGGTTTCCAGTAGAGACAGATGTTATCTTTGCTGTTGTTCCAGAAGCATATGAACTTTTCCCTCCAGGACTGGGAGGCTGATCTGTTAAAAAGCAGAAAGAAAACATTTAGTATTAAATAAATTACCTGTAAGATAAAATTTCTCTCTCTCTTTTTTTTTAAGAGACAGAGTCTCACTTTATCGCCCTCATTAAGAGTACCATGGCATCAGAGCTCATAGCAACCTCAAATTCCTGGGCTTAGGCGATTCTCTTGCCTCAGTCTCCCCAGCAGCTGGGACTACAGACGCCCACAACACCTGGCTATTTTTTGTTGCAGTTTGGCCGGGGCTGGGTTTGAACCCACCACTCTCAGTATATGGACCTGGCACCCTACCCAGTGAACCACAGGTGACGCCGAAGATAAAATTTCTTTAAGGGTCTCATTCATCTTTACATCATTAGTGAGATGTCTAGTACAGAGACACAAAAAACAAGGCATGTAAGAAATTAGATCTCATATCCGTACCCATTTCTTAAGCTGTCAGAACCTAGAGCTACAAAGTTTTACCTGTAGACTTAGTTTTATCTAGGACTGAGACCAGAATCTCTCTGGTAAGGGGCTAGGAAGTAATATGCCTTGTAAGCCTGTGTCTCCTCCTATTATTATTTCTGTTAATTCTTTCAAAGGGTAAACAATGTTTTTGCTTTTGTTGCCAACCCCTGCTAGAGACAGTATTAATGTATTTATCTAGAGCATCAACTAAACCAAACATTTTCCCTTTTAGTTTTTATGTATATTAGAGAAACATTAATTATGATGTCTTTTATGAAAACCATGTATTAGTTAGCCAATACATTCAGTAGAAAAATTAAGTTTAATAGTTAACAAACCACCAAATGCCCACTCCCCCCAGCCCCCATGACTATGACCATGAATGTACTTGGTAAGTGAACAAGTGTTTCCTCTTACTTGCCACGTTAGGGCTAGAGCGATGATCAGCTCTGTTTTTCATCAGTCTGTCATCACCAGGCAATTTCTTTGGTTCACTGTATTCTGCCCAAGGCAGCTGAGGACTCTCAGGAGACCCATTTTGAGCTGAATTATTGTAGAGCTCAAAACCTTCACTCTTTGGTCGGGGTTTCCCTGAGCCACGGCGATCAGACACTGAAATCAAAGCATATGTGGCATCTCTTCGTTTGTTCAAGATTTTATTCTATTTTCAACTAGAATAGCTTTAAAAGAAAAACAAACCTGCAAATATTTAAAACTCCCTACGAACTATTCTTAGCATAAGAAGTAAAGTTATTTTAATATAAAGGTAAATTCTTTCTGTAGAATCTTAAAACAACTTTCAAATAATAAAACATTTTACTCACTAGTACTGGTAGGAAAATATATCAAAGCTTATTTTCTCATTAACTGAAAGAAACTTAACCATTTTAAGTAACAAATCTATTTTAAAGTAACTTTTATAAAACTTAAATATACTTTCTTCACTTCTTAAAAAGAAATATTAAAATTTTTAGTCACTGAGGGTCACTGTCACTGTAGAGAGCCATCGAATGGGATCACTGAGTACTGATTTTCAGTTCTCCAGCTTGCTTGCTAACCCTAGTTTATTTATTATCTACTTTTCTTTTTTTTTTGTAGTTTTTGGCTACAGCCGGGTTTGAACCTGCCACCTCCAGTATATGGGGGCCGGCGCCCTACCCCTTTGAGCCACAGGCACTGCCCAACTTACTACCTAGTGTTCCTCTTTGATTTCTACAATAATTCGTGTTCTAGTTTGCTTCTTTTCTATGACTCTAAACCATGAAATCAGATAAGTAGGACACTAAGTTCTGTTATATAAAAAGTAAAAAACATGCTGAGTCAGGACGGACAACATCGACACATGGTTTTATTGGGGGCCCTTTCTGTTTCAGTAAAGAGTGGGTCAGGTTCTCTGATACTTTTGCTGTTGCTATTGTTGGTAGAATTCTAAATTTTGGAGAAGAGGGCTATGAAGGCCTATATTTAGAAAGCAATGCACACATATAACAATGCGTATTAAGAATGACCTGGAAAGCACATGAAGACTTAAGACAGTCTGTGAATCACAATGATTTTCTCCTGTGGTCTCTGAACTTTTATTAAATCTCCTGCACTGGCAGGGTGAGGTGGTCTATGCCTATAATCTGAGGACTCTGGGAGGTCAAGAATTGGCCACCAGCTTGGGCAATTATGAGACCTCCCATATCTCCGCAAGTGTACACCTGCAATCCCACCTGCTTGGGCAGCTAAGATAGGAAGAGCTCTTGAGCCCACGAGTTTGAGATTGCAACGAGCTGTGATGATGCTACGACACCAGAGCCTGGGAACAGACCAAGACCTTATGTGGAAAGATAAAAAAGTACTAAATTTATACTGATTTTATTCTGAGAGGCTTTTTAAAATTGCTGGTAGTTATAAAACCATAGTTTCCACAAATAAATTATTTATTTAAATAATTGAGTTTTTATATAAAGTGAATTACAGCCAGGTATTGAATGACAATATTTTAGCAATGATTTGTTCAGCTATAGTAAAATATTTTCTTTCTTTGTATTCTTATTCTGTAAGTTTTTTCTAGTTTTAGTATTTTTTACTTTTTAGACTTTCTTGGTAAAAACTTAAAACATAAAGACAGCCTAGGCCTGTAAGGACAGGATCACAGCGTCACTGTCTTCCACCTGCACATCTGGGCCTACTGGGAGGTGTTCCGGGGCTATGATCATAGTGCCTTGTTCTGGATTCCTCCTGAAGGACCTGCCTGAGGCTGCTTTACAACTAACCTCTTTTGTAGTAAGTAGAAAAAGTATACTCTAAAATAATGATAAAAAGTATACTAAATAAATAACTAGTAACATAGTTATTTGTTACCATTCTCAAGAATTATATGTGTGCTATACATTTTTGGATGTGTTATACTGTTATACCAGTGGGGTTGCACTAGGTGTGCTTACACCAGCATCACCAAAACACATGAGTGCTGTGTTAAACACGTCAACTATACAACAGCTGCAACATCATTAGGCAGCAGAAAACTTTCTGTTCCATTAAAATCTTATGGGACCACAGCCTACAGCAGGCGTCCTCAAACTACAGCCCGTGGGCCACATGCAGCCTGCCTAGGACATTTTTCCGGCCTGCCGGGTTATTTTTGTTGCCACTGTCTATCCTGCTTAGCAGCCGACTTGTCCTGGGGACCGCAGTCCAGCCCTCCAATAGTCTGAGGGACAGTGAACTGGCCCCCTGTTTAAAAACTTTGAGGACCCCTGGCCTACGTGGTTCAGCGCTGGCTGAGTGTGTGTAGGTGGACTCTACGTCTTCACAAGGACACAGTCACCATAGAATGCACTTCTCAGAATCTCCCCATCTGTAAGTGAAGCATGACCAAACGTAGAACAAGATCATCACGCTTCCGCTCAGCACATGCAGGACTAAAATAACTCCTCACATACAAATGAATACATCTATGTTCCTCCAGTGCAGAACTGAGCTTATTCCTTACAGACTGTGCATCACAAATGTGTCACTGAGAGCCCACTTTATATTGGGCCTATGGAAGCTCAGGTCTGTGGGGGTGAAGTTAAACAGCTCTTGGACACAGGGAGACAAACCTGCCCACATCTGAATCCTGGTTCCAGCAGTGACCTGGGCATCTCACCCTCAGTTTCTTGACCTCTAGTGGCTACCCCATGAGTTTGTGATTAGGAAAGAGATCATGACTATAAACTCTACAGCACCCGGCTATGGTAGATGCTATCCTTGGAGTGGCCACTGACCCACCACTCTCCTTACTTCTCTGCATCATGGGGGACGGTTGGTTGAGGAGGGTAGCTAGGCCGTGGTAGATGGCGCCTTGCTTTGCCACTTCAAGTGTCACCACAGAGCTGGTTCTTGTCATAAGTTCTGCTGCCCTAGGAATAGAGTGTCAAACATGTGAAGAAAATGAAAGCCCTGTGCCTGCTTTGCAACCACGGTTGCAACCTCACTGCAATTGCAAACACAGTCCTGCTAATAGCCTAATCCGCTGTCTTGGGGAACAGTTCTGTAGCCCCAATGATTCCCACTGTCCACTTCCTTCCTTCCACAACTGACTATGATGTGAAAATATGCAAACAACAAATCACAGATGATCATACTAAGAATTGTAAGATGATACTCAGAAATTTTAAAAAGTACTAAGCATTTATTTATTTCAAATTTCAAAGAAACTGCTCTAAACTAAAACACACGTTACACTTTGGCAACAAACGAAATGCTATGTACACTAATACTTCTACACTTAAAAAGGTAAAGAGTAATAACAGCATGACTTTTTAGCATTATGTTTTATATTCTAATTTCAAAAATACTGTGACCTAAAAATGCCAATACTAAACTTTAAACAAATAAGTCAATCATACCTTTCCTGTGAGAGTCCAACCAGACTTCGTCCATCCACACTGAGCAGCTGATCACCTGCAGCTAGCCGTCCATCCTGGGTCCACCCCAGGTGGGGACAGCAAGGGAAAAGGAAGGAAAGAAGACAGGCTGTGGTAAGTATACATCACGCTGGTCCTTCCAGCGTGCAGACACTGCACAGCGTCACCCAGAACTACTGCTATCAGTGGAATGTCCTGAGTCACATGTCTGAATATATGACACCAAACATTTACTTCTTTAAAACTGACACTGACCACGTCTGCAGCACCTCCTTTCACCACAGACTTGACGTAGATCCCCAGTTTATCCTGGCCAGCACCCTATAAGAAAACACGGGAAAAACATCATGGTGAAAATACACAGTAAGAAACGCACTACACAGTAAAGTAAAACAAAAACAAAACTATCCCTTGTATACACAGGTGATTGCTACAAAGTTCTAGTTCTCACTTTTATATGAAAATTAGAAATACAGGCTCGGCACCTGTAGCTCAGCAGCTAGGGTGCTAGCCACATATATTGGAGCTGGCGGGTTTGAACCCAGCCCAGGCCTGCCAAACGACAATGACAACTACAACAAAAAAAATAGCCAGGTGTTGTGGTGAGCTCCTATAGTCCCACGTACTTGGGAGGCTAAAGCAAGAGAATCGCCTAAGCCCAGGAATTTGAGGTTGCTGTGAGCTGTGATGCCACAGCATTCTACCCAGGGCGACAGACTGAGACTCCGTCTCAAAAAAAAAAAAATTAGAAATATAAAAAACTATACTAATAGTTTTTCTTGAACTATACATTCAATTGGTAAAACTAAAGAAACTAAAAGGAATTGCTTCTATTTTATGTTTCCAAATTTTTTTTTTCTTTTGCAGAGACAGAGTCTCACTTTATCGCCCTCAGTAGAGTGCTGGGGCGTCACACAGCTCACAGCAACCTCCAACTCTTGGGCTAAGGTGACTCTCTTTGCCTCAGCCTCCCGAGTAGCTGGGACTATACAGGTGCCCACCACGATGCCTGGCTATTCTTTTGTTGCAGTTTGGCTGGGGCTGGGTTTGAACAGGCCACCCTCGGTATACAGGGCCGGCGCCCTACCCAGTGAGCCACAGGCATCACCCATGTATTTCCAAATTTAGAAGAAAAAATAATTCTGAAAAAATCAGTTATTCATTCATTAGCTGATGTGAGGACTAAAACAGATGTGGAATCCTGAGGTTGACTAAGAATAGTTCTTAACAGCTACAAGTATAAGTGATTTAGAATCTGCTCATGTCAAATATTAATACTATTAATCATTTTAACACAAACAGCAAATTACTACAGTATTTTAAAAAATCCATTACTTACCTATAACCCTCCTAACACCATTATTCTTTCCATACATGTTTAAAATTTAAAATAAGAAAAAAATTCAGTTCAAACAAAAAGAAAGCCTTAAGTAGTAAGAGAAAATTATGTAGAAAATAATCTAACTCACAGTAACTAAATATTAAAGTAACATGCCCCAATTCACATAAAATTGACATTTTCAAAATAATAAAATTCTGTGGCAGACTTAGAAGCATACATACCACTTTCTGAGTCATCAATATTCTACTGGAACACCACAAGTGTAACATACATCAAAGTCCTATATGAACTATCAAAGCAAACAATCAGATGCATGAAATCTTACTTGGATACTACTGACAACAATGTCCAACTCAGCATAATTTCTTAGGTCACAATGACTAAAGGTGAACCCAAAGCCATCTCAATAGTTAAGAAATGCTGTGTCACAGAAATAAAACTATGTCACAGAAAGGTATAAAGATAGTCAATTCAATAAACAACTTAATGAAAATACTATGACATCCTGAAACTCTGTGACAGTCACTCGGAACCACTACTATTCTTTCCTGCATAAGGAGCCAAGTGTGTGACGGCTGGCGTGACCAGCATCACTAATGCCAACTTCCTTTCTCCCCTCAATCAAGCATGCAGCATGTCATGTTTTGTAAGCATAAAGCCATGCATTACCTATTTCATTTTGAAAACAGTATAAAATTTCTTAATTTAGCAAAACATCTTACATTTGGAAAGCAGCATGCTTCAAATTTCATATGGTTTTCACTAAGTTTACAGAGGTTCTACCCAAGGCAAAAGCAAGTGTCCCCTCTAGCAGCTTCTGGTTCTCTTGCGTATCCCAGCCTGCCCACCTCCATGTCCCTGCTGTGTCCACACCTCTCTCGGGGGCTACTGCTTTCACCTCTCTGCCAGTCTTTAAGCCCAGGCCCAGAGGTCCACTGTCTATCTGGTACCCTGCCCCCCTTCAGAAATCATTCAGGCCTACCGTCACACGATAGCCAAGCACAACCTGCAGTCCATGCTGTAGAAAGCATTGTCGGGATGGATGGTGACATCTGAGCTTTTTTATAAAATTTCAAAGTAAAATATATAGTAGTAGGTTACTCAAAAAATGGCAACTTACTGAATTTTGGCATGTCGCTTAGCAAAAGAGCAATAAATACGCTTTGTACCTGACTTCACTTATGCCAATACTGAGTATCCTTGAATCCAAGGACCTACCTAAAACACACTGAGGAAACTCCTCTGAGACAGGCTTCACTGCCTCTTCTCTGATAAACTGGGTATCCCCCATATACTATAACTAAATTTTTACATATTTCAAAATTTCAGATGCTCTATGAGTAACTATTAAATTCCACAACTCAGCTGTTAAAATGATAATTTCCTTCACTTATCAAATAACCAAGTGCCTAAACTCCCCTAAGCTCTGTGTATCAAACAGACAAAAACCACTGCCCTCGTAGTTTTTTTAATAGCTATCTGCTAATAATTCTGGTTGGAAAATCTCAGATTATTTCCTTTTAGCTGGTACTCTAGGTAAGATTTGTTTATTTTAAAGTTCTAAAAGCACCAGTTATTTTTTTCCCATGCACTGAGTGTCAGAATGCCAACTGTCAGCATCATTTACACATGGCATCTTTGGGTTAATGTAATGCTGACCTTGTAATGTAAATAAAAATCATTCTTTTAACAAGATAACTATCATCTCTGTCAACAGAAGTGTTTAGCAATAATGCTAGTCATACAATATCTTTAATAAGACTACTATAAGAAAGAAATAACCAAATATGTATTTTTAAAGGAATAAAGCAAGCCTCCCTCTCCCCTGGGGTGCGTTTCAATCTCTCCACACTGTCACCAGTCATCACAAGCCTGAGCACAGCTGTCAGGCTCTTTACTTCGTAACTATTTTACATAAGTAGGAAACTAAATCACAAGCTTAAGTAAACTGTACATTCCAAATGAACTGCAAATATTATTTACATAACCTAAAATCCTACATCATTTTAAGGCAGGTAATTTATGACACTGCATTACACTGTCAAATTTAAAGAGTCTAAACTAAAATATTCAAGTAGAAATCATCATGTAGTACAGATAATTCAACAGCATTCCAACCTACGTTTACATATGCTGAAGTTTACATTATAAGCTTCAAGAAAATTCTGGCAAAACAAGGAAGCTCCTCATGACTGATAAGGGGGCCTGTGGGCCTCCCTGTGTTGGAGCACAACTTGGGTGATGCTGTCCTTGCCGGACTTCTCCAGCTGCCAGCTGCTGCACAACACACAGCAGCCTCCTGCAGCAGGCGTCCAGGCTCTCTGCGCCCCTCTCCTGGTGCGCTAAGCTTAGTGCAACATGTCCTTCATGCCCTCTTATCCTACCCAACTCATGTCGTTCTGATGCAATCCACCTGTCTGCAAAGTCCTGTGCTATCTTTTTGGTCTCTCAGGCTCACTGCCACCACCTGCCATCCCAGTCATCTGCCCAGGGCCAATTATGTTCTCACAGGATTTTCTTTGTTCCTTTGGAGCAGTGAGTTACTGTGTCCTGTACTGCAGCCACCTGTGCACACGTCCCTTTCTCTGATTCCATCATAAGACTGAGTGAGTGTGAGAACTATCCCTTCCAGAGCAGCTTCCCAATGAGGCTGCCTTACGATTTACGACAATTTGATCAATCCTTATTTTAAAAACCTGAGATGAGAAAGCCGAGAAGTTTATTGCACGAATACATTTGTAAGTTAACAAGTAACTGATACGTCCATTATGTGTGAGTAAGCAATATAACTTCGTGAATTTATTTGAATTCCAAGCTATAATCACTTCTTTAAAATTCCAAGTAAACTGAATTTATATCTACTTGTCACAAAAAAAAGTTTTCACCTAAGGAAATGAGCTTTCGTGATTATGAATCTGATTATAAGTCAGACAAAGCATCATAATAAAATATGCTACTAAGAAAAATGTTCTTAGAGGAAGACTAACATGCTGTACAAGAAAAAAATCTGGACCTAGGATATTTTAAGAAGTATCCAAATTTCAGCAGATATTTGGGCCCAAGCTCTGGCTAATTCCTTAGTAACTCCCTCTAGGTCATGGCCCCCTTGGCTAGGCTGCGACAGACACGTCACCACTGACATGCACCTGCCTGCAGATGCAGACTCATGGCCCCACTGAAATGCCCTTCTCTCCTTCCACCTCCACTTGCTTCAATCCTAACTATATAACACATACAGCTCAGCCACAAACTGGTCATAAAAAGTTATATGATAAACACCACTGCTGTACAGAGAAACGATAGTTCTACCAGTAATTGTTTTAGGAAAACAAAATCATAGATGAATATCCAGCGATGAAAGCACTGCATGGAATCTCTAATGATACATATCAAACCAAACTGAGTAGTCACCTTCAACTTGAAAGACCACAATCTCTGCCCAACCAAAAGGTGTCCACTCTCTCAATCTGGCCATGGCAGTGCTGGCCTGGAATGTCCATCCTCACTGAGTGGACAGCAGAGTTAAAGGGTTCTGTGTCACTTCTAACTGCCAGTTATGATTGAGAATAGCTCTGTTATCGGTCAGGTGACTGGGAAAACTGTTACTTGTCAAGCTATAATAATTCCTAACATCATGGAGCTCCCACTGCCTGACCTGACCTACCTTATCTGAATAAAAATGAGAATGTCAGTGCCTAAGATAAAAACCTGTAAAAATAGAATTTAATATTTCAGAAATATTAAACTGCTTAATTTGTGACTTGTTTCTAAACAATAATGCACAATCTAATCTAGCCTAAAAGACTGAACCAAAAATTGATTAAAATATATCTATCTATATATTCATATTATATATATCTATGTACAACTATGTATACACACATATAACACCCATATATATAAATATTCAGTTTATGGTAATTCTATTTTTTTTTCCAACTAAAGTAGGAATGAGAGGCTGAAGTAGGTGGACTGCTTG